GAATCGTGCCCCATCCTTGGTGTCAGTGGGGGGAGGAATCGTGCCCCATCCTTGGTGTCAGTGGGGGGAGGAATCGTGCCCCATCCTTGGTGTCAGTGGGGGGAGGAATAGTGCCCCATCCTTGGTGTCAGTGGGGGAGGAATAGTGCCCCATCGTTGGTGTCACTTGGGGGAGGAATAGTGCCCCATCGTTGGTGTTAGTGGGAGGAATAGTGCCCCATCGTTGGTGTCAGTGGGAGGAATAGTGCCCCATCGTTGGTGTCAGTGGGAGGAATAGTGCCCCATTATTGGTATTAGTGACACCAATGATGGGGCACTATTCCCACTGACACCAATGATACTTACCTTGCTGACCCCTGCTCCAGCCTGGGCTCGCTCGCTCCCTCCCTCTCCCATGGTACACACTTACCTGTCAGCTGTCTTCCTTCTCCGGCCGCTCTCCTCCTCTTCACTCGCTCCATCTTCGCGGTGCCGCTCGGCTCCTCCTCTCCAAGCTCCACCTCCTTGTCAGTGATTGGCCGCCTGTGTGCCTCTCCTGAGCTACAGTGCCGGCGGCCAATCACAGGCAAGGATTGATCTCGAGGTGTGTCCAGATGACAGGGGCGGCATGTCATCCCGCCCACACCTGGAGACGGCGGCGGCGGCGAGGAGCGGTGTCTCAGTTCCTAAGACCATCGGAAATATGTGTTTTCCGATGGTCTTAGGCGACCCCTGTGGAAGCGTCGTTCGACCCCCAAAGGGGTCGCGACCCCCAGGTTGAGAAACGCTGATCTAAAGGAAGACATTTCAAATATCCTAGAGCGGAAACAATGTTATATACATAAATGTGTTTGTGTACATTTAGTCCAATGAACAAGGCAAATTAAAAACAATATGCTCAGTAGTTGGCAGTAGATTTGAGTTGATCCTCTGCATAACCAGCAGATAAGAAAAAGCTCTAAGGCTAACCATACACACTTTGTTTTCTCTAATTCCACCCAGGTCTCTGCTTTCAAAAATACATAATGTTTTTGGAATTACAATTCATGTATAAAATATGCATTTTAGTATGTGTGCTTAAAATGAATAAATGGCTGGCAGAGAAAAATGCTAACATTAGGCGTTTCCTATATACAATAAGTTAGGCATACAGTAGAAATGATAATTGTTTGAAATGTATCATTGAGACATTCAAGCTGAACAGTTTCTTGTCATATTATCCATTGTTGTATTGTGAAGAAAAGAAGAGACAGGTGTCTAATTCTTAGTATTTTCACAAATTACACCTTTCAGCAGCTCATTTCTGGCATTTTCTTCTCTAGAAATCGTTCATGCCTTCAAGTTATCATTATATAAGTTGTATAAGTTATTATAAGTTATAAAAAATATCAAATTATAAACATTTGTAAATGTTCTTCTACCCTAATACTTTTGGGAAAGACATGGCAAGCAGCAACCTTTACAAGACATTACTGTCATTATAATCAGAATAATACAGTCACCTTTGTTTGAAAGACTTACTCTAGAGAAAAATGCATGCTGAAAATAAGTGATAATTGGTTAAGAGCTATCCTGACAACTACCAAGTCATGGGTAATTATATTCCACAGTATGTGTCTTTGTATATCTCAGCCAAACAACAATGGCTGTTTACATTTGCAACTTTTAGTGTAATCATTTTTGGTTCTGGATAGGAATGAATTCATGAATTGCATCAGTCAAATTTTGCAGCAAACTGCCTTGTACATTTCAAGCCAGTGATTAAATCAAGTAAATTGGTCCAAAGACTAGACTTTCTAATGGAGATGCCCACCATCGCTCTGATCTTTAATGAATTGTAGACATGTGCGTTTCATTTTGTAACTAATCAATTTTCATCCAAAAATGAGATTTTCCAAGCTTCGGATATATACAAATCTCTGAATGGACATTGTAATGAATGTAAAAGAAAGTTATACCGAAATGACTGAATGCTGTGATGTCACATGATTCGATAGTAGTATAAATTGTGTCAAAAATTACTTATGGACATTTTAGACACAAACTCAGTACACCGAAAATAAAAGCAATTGTTACTTTATTAACATACCATATATAAAATATATTTTTTGTGTAGTAGTTAAAATTGCATTGCACATTAAATCACAACATTTTCCCCCATCAGTTAGAGAAATTATAGGATTTTCCGTTGGAAGTATTGTAGAGATGGCAGACACAATCCACTTCCTTCAAGGTGAGGGGAGTGACCAAGCTGTATAAATGAAGCCCGACATGTTTCGTGACAAAGGTCACTTCCTCAGGGGCTAGGAACACATCTAAAAAATGAAAAAAAACTTATGCAGGCCATAGACAGGTCATTTATCGCCGAATTTTCGTCTGCACGACAAATTGGCTTATATTCACGCCATTAGTGGGGCCAGACCGTTAGACATTTTTCGCGGATCTTTTCGTTTATTTTTATCGGTCATGCTGGAAAATCCACGAAAAACGGCCGTTTTTCGTGGACATTGGTGGCAGCATTGGCAAACGGGGCCGACTGATCTTTCATTTATCGGCCGACAATTTGTCCGATAAACGACCCGTCTATGGCCAGCCTTAAAGTAATCATTGCAAACATTAACAATGGATTCAAATACAAAATGGGTACCGCATATAAAACACTTACATGAAAATATAAACAGTGTGTATTGTATGATAGAGGACTCCTCAATGCAGCAACGCAGGCCACAACAGACCAGAGCAGCAACCCCATGGTGAATGCGGGGGGCGCATCAAGCAGGCAATTGAGCAAACAAAAGCACCCCACTGGAATCAATGGCAGTGTGCAGATGAAATTGGATAGTAGGTCAAGGGTGCAGGGCAAAGTTAGACATTATCATCATAGTTATCCAGCTAATGAAGTATAGTAATAGAGAACAACACAGGCCTACAAGAGTCCAAAATATAAAAAATAGTCAGTGGTGCCTTAAAAGAGGCAATCCATCTCCGCATTATATAATAGAGTTGTACACAAGACCCAAAGTACTCAAAAAAAATTACCTCTATGCATGAAACGACACATCCACTGTATAGGCCTATAGGGCACATGTGAAGAGCCACTATCCATGAAACAAGGGGCCGAAATACCATCAACAGATTCGAGATGGATCACCTCCACTATTAGCCATAAACCAAATGGCCTGAAACACAGGGATTATCCCAGATTTAGAGACTCCCCTTCCCAGCTATCTTATTTCTCAGCAAACATAAAGGTGTTGTCTTCAGATTCAGCTCAAGCAAGACAGGTAAATCTTTCCATCAGTATAAAACAGTCTTAAATGAATAACTTGCAGTGTTCTACCCACAGCACACACATTATTTCACAGACCAAGCTCACCCAGCAGGCCAACGTGAAACTATGGAGCCTTCCAGGGTGCATTCAGATCTCCTCACTGCAGACAACAAAATTGCCATCAACCAGCCCCTCTGATCAGCTGGTTAATATACAGGCGTGAATGAAAAGTACCTACCCTCTACAATTAACCTTCTATTAAACCTACCACAGGATGATGCTCCACAGGACCCATGGGGAAATTAATTAAATTTTTTAATTCTTTTGATAATTCAGATTTTCCAGTAAATTTGTGATTTAAACTGAATTTGCAATTTTCACAGTCAGTCAGTTAAGTTCCTGCCAAATTTTGCATTATTTTTTCTATTGCATTATTTTTTCTATTGCCTCCAAAAATATAAAATCAAATCCACCTGAAATATATGGCAATCTTCCGAAAAGCTGCAAAATGTTTTGAAATCACCCGGACCAACAATTATATGAAACAAATGCCAAATATAACTAAACAAATCCTGCAAATTAATCAGTTCAACATAACGATAATTATGATATGAAGTTCTTCAAAGAACGAATACATCCAAAATTAAATAAAAATCTTGAGCGTGTACATGTGTAATGAACTGAATTGTTTTTTTTTATCTGTTTATTATTACGTTAGGCTAAGTGAATATTCACCCAGTGAATATTGTGCGCTTTCCAACTCTTTTTTCATGAATTTTCAACTTGTGGTGAGCACATGGAAGCTTGTCATCCCATAGTTACATGCATCTTCCCTGGATACCTGCTATGTGCACAGCTCCATTCATCTGCCATGATATCTGCCATGTGCTCAGCCACAATGAAGACTATGACAGTTGCTGCAGCCGGTGTAAAATCAGTCATTCTTCCTTAACTCCATACACTGAAAAGGAGGAAGCACATGCCACTACAGAAAAAGCATTCTTATTGGTTAACAACAAAAATACATGAAAGCGCATGCAAAATGCACTAAAATGCACAAGAATGAACACCTATAAAATGCAAGAAAAATGCATGACAGCAAAAACAGAGAGAGGTGAAAAGGGCCTAACATTTCATCCCTTAAATACTTTAACCACTTCAGATCCGCACACTTTCACCCCCTTCCAGTCCAGGCCAATTTTCAGCTTTAAGTGCTATCACACTTTGAATGACAATTGTCATGCAACACTATACCCATATGAAACTTTTAGCATTTTTTTGAGACAGATAGAGATTTCTTTTGGTGGTATTTATTCACCACTGGAATTTTTATTTTTTTGCTATATAAATGAAAAAGACCAAAAATTTTGAAACAAAAGTGTTTTTTCTTATAAAATTTTGCAAATAAATAATCTTTCATAAATCTTGGCCAAATATATTCATCTATCTTTTTTAGTAATAAAAAAAAAAAAAAATAACCCAAATTAGTTTATAACCAAAAATTATAATTTTTCACAATTTTATTTACATTTTTATTTAATTTTTTTATATTATTATTTATGGGTTTTTTTTACATACTGTCACCCTAGCAGTACAGTGTCACCATAGTGACACTGTACTACTTGTGGGGGGTGATGAAGTTTTTTTTTTTCTTTTTTTACACGGATTGCTTTTACACCCATAAAGGCTGCAAAAGCAATCATTTTCTCCTTCTCCCTGGCTGCATTCCTGCAGCTATTGAGAAATATTGTGCGAGCTGTGATTGGTCACAGCTTGTCACATGGTACAAGGCTGTTGTGAATAGCCTTGTACCATGTGACCTCTGTGATCATTCACAGATTTCACAAATAGAGTAAGCAATGATGTCAGGAAGTGACATCTTGTTTACTACTGTTCATGTGATCACTGATTGGCCAATCAGTGATCACATGAATCAGGACCTCACACAGAGGTCCCGTACAGCAATCTGTGTTCCGCGGTGCCAACTGCTCCCAGGGAGCGTGCAAAGGCAATGTATGTGGGGGGACGTTTAGAAACGTCCACCCGTATCGACAGCACTCCCGGCCGGCCGTTTATCGACATGGGCCAAACGGGAAGAGGTTAACATTGTTTCTTTTGTCAGATATTAGATTTGTTAAAATGCAGTCACATGTTTACACTGTTAAAGTGGAACATTAGTCAGAAAATTAAGTACTGCTAGATAACTTCAGGCCGGCCCCTTTGGAGGTAAAACATTAAAATTAAGTGCCTATACTGTTTAAAAATCCAGTAATACATTATCTTATCTTGTTCTGCACATATTCAGATGCTCTCTTTTTTTTAGGCACTGTGCTGAAAATGTAGAGGCCAAACTGATAACAGCCTAAAGATTTAATGCTGCTCAGTGCTCTGGGTTTCAGCAGATTGGTAGCCTCCAGCAAGAAGAAACAGTGCTGGAGGCAATTTGCAGCACACATTAATTTTGGTAGCATAATTATTAATATGGACGTTGTGTTTCTTGCTAAAGAACATTATTTTTTATCAATTAGTTATGGGTAAAAGTTCCACTTTAATTGAATACAGCTCAAAAACAGTGTCTAGTTTAAGGCCTTGTTCATATCAGCATAATTAAAAGAGAAGTATGGGCTTCCCCCCCCCCCCCCCCCATTTATGCTTACCTAGGTGGATGCAGAGTTCTCCCAGCCGCTCTGAGCAGAGAACGGTGACTGTCAGTCACCACTGTCTGCTCCCCTCACCAGTGCTCACTGGAGTTCTGGGCTGTGGAGGGGGAAGGAGCGGTTGGCTCAGGCTCTCAGCACTTTGCTGCGATAAAGGCCGCATTCCTAGGTCCACACGTAACCTGATAACCAGACCTCATTGTTAATCTCAGCTGTAAATACATCTTTATATACTGTATGAGCTGACTGATGGTCAGGAATCTTGTTTGGTTTGAAGAGCCCACTAGGGCACACCCTGTTAGTCAGAGTTCAAGACAAGAAGGCTCAGACAAGCAAAAATGTAGTTTGGTTTATACAACAGACTTGTTGTACAGACACGTCCTGCATTGAACTGTACTTCTATGATGCCTTGCTAAATACAAGTGCAGAAGAAATCTTCTTGTTCTATTCCTGAGTGTCCCCGCCTTGTGTATGGTTTACCACTGCCAATACCCATTACAATATACATATTTTTTTACTTTAATGTTATTTATTTTCTGCATGGTTTACAGAAGATTTTACCTCCTTGGTGGTGTGAGACATCAGAACAAAGGAAATTATATTCCTGAGAAGACCCTACCTGGACCGTAAAAGCACCATCTGCTTTATCTTCAACCTGGAATGCTCTAGACAGCTGGTATATGCAAAGCAGAGGTTGAAGGTGGTTAGAGTCAAAGAAAAGAGAGACTATAGAGAAATTCCCACTAGCTGCATTGTTATTTAGACCTTAAAGTGTAAAAAAAAAAGTGATGAAATGTGTGTGTGAAGTTGAAAGCAGTAGCAAGGCTAACATGAAATAGCTTTTCTGTTTCATAAAAGTGATTTCCAAAAGGATTCCTTCACTCTTTAAAACTTTGTTGTTTTGTTTTAGAGGAGTTTGCATGGAACAAAGTTTAAACTTTAGACAAAATGACACCCTGGGTAGAAATCAAAGTAAGGTCCCCTAAGATGATATACGCACATTATACCATCAGTGTCACAACTCTGTTTAACAAGCAAACGATTAGTTATATTTCCAGAATTAGATTGGAAAGCTGTCATATTGGAAGCATAAACATCCAGAGCAATGCCATTTTGTTAGACTTTAAACATGTTGCAGATATAATGATGTTGTGTTAAAAGGTTATCCTGAAATAATGCCGTGTTAACCCAGAATTAAACTATATTGCCAAAAGTATTGGGACGCCTGCCTTTACATGCACATTAAATTTAATGGCATCCTAGTCTTAGTCCGTAGGGTTCAATATTGAGTTGGCCCACCCTTTGCAGCTATAACAGCTTCAACTCCTCTGGGAGGCCAGTCCACAAGGTTTAGGAGTGTGTCTATGGGAATGTTTGACCATTCTTCCAGAAGCGCACGACTCAATGCTGAACTCCATACATAGTGCACCCCTCAACCCTGCACTCCGTACATAGCGCACCCCTCAGCCCTGCATTCCATACACAGTGTAAACCTGAACTCCGTACACAGCACACCTCTCAACCCTGCACTCCATACACAGCACACCCTTCAACCCTGCACACCATACATAGCGCACCCCTCAACCCTGCCCTTCGTACATAGCGCACCCCTCAACCCTGCCCTTCGTACATAGTGCACCACTCGACCCTGCTCTCCATACATAACGCACCCCTCAACCCTGCACTCCATACATAGCACACCCCTCCACCCTGCACTCCATACACAGTGTAACCCTGAACTCCGTACACAGCGCATCCCTCAACCCTGCACTCCATACATAGAGCACCCCTCAACCCTGCACTCCATACACAGCACACCCTTCAACCCTGCATTCCGTACATAGCGCACCCCTCAACCCTGCACTTCATACATAGCACACCCCTCAACCCTGCACTGCATACATAGCACACCCCTCAATCCTGCAATCCATACACAGTGCAACCCTGAATTACATACACAGAGCAACCCTGAACTCCATACACAGAGCAACCCTGAACTCCATACACAGAGCAACCCTGAACTCTGTACACAGCACACCACTCAACCATGCACTTTGTACAAAGTGTACCCCTCAACCCTGCAGTCTATATGTAGTGCCCCCTTCAATCCTGAACTTTTTATGTACCCTGGCAGCCCATCCTTGGAGATGCTGCTCACATTGGGCTCTGTTCCTACCTGCACTCAGTCAACCTTCATAGTTGTGTGTTCTCTGCTATGCTTATTGATAATAACAGGTTCTAGAATTTTCTGTCTATTGGTGGGTCTTGTCCCCTCCAAAGTCTGTGGTGTGCAGGAAGGGAGGAGATTGTGTGCTATAACCTCTAGCAACCAATCAGTGAGCTGTAATGATGTGCGGTAACTTCTAGCAACCAATCAATGAACAATAACGATCTGTTGTAATCTCTAGCAACCAATCAGTGAGCAATAATAATGTGCAGTAACCTCTAGCAACCAACCAGTTCACAGAAATGATGTACAGTAACCTATAGCAATTAATCAGTGAGCAGTAATGATGTGCAGTAACCTCTAACAACCAATCAGCAAGCAGAGATGATGTGTTGTAAGCTCTAGCAACTGATCAGTGAGCTGTAATAATAGTTAACGGTGGGGTGGTAACCCGGGTGAAGAGCCGTCATCTTACTGCGATGTGGGGAGGTCAGCTCTCGGCTGGAAAAGCGTGGTGGCTGGAGGGGGAACAGTGGTGAGGCCGGCCTTCATGCACGTCCTCCCTCAGAGCCGGATGGAACGCACGCTGGAACGTAGCGGCGGCGTGGCCGTGATGACGTCAGATCCCAGGGTGCACTGCGACGCGTTTCGGAGCATGCACTGGCCGTGGAAGGCGAAAGTGCACTCCTTTTTCAGGCTTGTTCCAGCCGAGAGCTGACCTCCCCACATCGCAGTAAGATGACGGCTCTTCACCCGGGTTACCACCCCACCGTTAACTATTGTTAACCACGGTTTTTATGCTTATGATTACTTCACACATGTGAGTGTTTCTACATTTAGACTTGAATTAAAAGACTTATTGCACTTAGAGGCGCTTCTCTCCTTTTTCTCATCTACAGAAGTTGCTACAGCTTATTTGGAAGCCTTGCCCTCAGTGCCACACGGAATCCTACGCTCTTCATACAGTAGCCACTAATACCACTATCACCCCATACTACCATTTCCCTGGACTTTGCAGTGTTTGCGCTGTTACAACCCTTCCTCATTTTTTCTGAATCATTTTGTGAGCTGTAATGCATGCTGTAACCTCTAGGAACCAGTCAGTGAGCAGTAATGATATGCTGTAACCTCTGGCAACCAATCGCTGCCTGATCTGCTGCAGTAAACTGATTTTGAGTCTAGCTGCTATTTATTGTATGTTTCAGAATGGGGGGTTGGGGGGTAGCGGCTAGGGGGCCCAAAAAAAAATGTTTGCCCAGGGTCCAACCAATATTAAAGATGGCCCTGCCATGGCTGAGTTGCTGTTGTTCCCAGTTGCTTCCACTTTGTTATAATACCACTAACAGTTGACTGTGGAATATTTAGTAGCAAGGAAATATCACGGATGGACTTATTGCACAGGTGGCAACCTATCACGGTATCACGCTTAAATTCACTGAGCTCTTGAGAGAGACTCATTCTTTCACAAATGTTTGTAGAAGCAGTCTGCATGCATATGTGCTTGATTTTATACACCTGTGGCCATGGAGGTGATAGGAACACCTGAATCCAATGATTTGGAGGGGTGTCCCAATACTTTTGGCAATATAATGTATATCAGCTTACCAGAATGCTTCCTGGGGGATGCTAGGGTGACTCGAGTTTTAAATTGATTCCCTTTAGTGCCAAGGTCTCTCCAGCATGACATGTTTCACCTAATGTGTTGCATATTGTCAGGATGCTCCACAGAAGAGCAGTGACATGTTTTTCCCAGAGTGATATTTCATTCCATTGCGATTGATTTACTATAACAGGAGAGTACAAAATCTGGTGCAGCTGAGCATGGCAATCAGCTTCTAACTTCAGCTTGTTCACTTAAGCTTTGACAAAGAAAACTGGTAGCTGACTGGTTTCTATGCAGAGCTGCAGCAGATTTTGCACTCTCTTGTTTTAACAAATCAACCCCATTGTCTAAGTAACCTCAAACTGATGATGCATTTTATTTCAGATTTAACCTATATTGATAAGCTGCCCTGGATGTCACAGTGCAATCTTGCCTCAGAGCAATGCTTTCCTCCCATGATGCTCCCAAAGTCATGCCCTCTTGTTTCCTAATGTAAGGCCA